TAATAGACTACTAACAGTAGCATAATGGGGCATCACTAGCATGTTGTCTGTAATTGACTTACTCCATTCAGTATTCTAAACATGGGTAATAAGTAAGAAAATAAGAAAAGGTAAAAGGCTAATGCAGGATAACCTGAAAGAAAAAGATAATGCAGGATCATCTTATTGCACTGCCATAGGCAGTGCAATAATGCTAATGCTAATGCACTGTCTTCGCAAGTCAGTCACTGCTCTCCTTATGCATTGCTATGGGAAGGCCCCAGTTACAGCAAAGTATTCACTCAGAGGGGTGAATACTACTGCACTTCACATTTTTAAGTTTGTTTGTAAAAAACAATTTCTGAATTGTGTACAATTTTCTTTCTACTTTACAATAGTACACCACTTTGTGTTGGTCTTTCATATTAAATTTCAATGAAATATACTTATGTTTCACGTCCCAAGAGTCAGCTTCTGTAACCGAGGATCAGACCGCCAGGACCCCCTCCCTTGGCCACCACCCATCACTCACTTGCACCCAACCCCTGTGGCCCTTCCCATAGGTGGTGGTGAGCCCATTGGAAGAGGGACCCATATTTCCTCTTCGGGCAGGGCCCGGCCAGGCTCCATGGGTGAAAGCCCGGCCACCAGGCGCTCGCCAATGTGCCCCACCTCCAGGCCTGGCTCCAGAGTGGGGCCCCGGTGACCCACGTCCGGGCAAGGGAACACTATGTCCAAAGTTTGTTTGCATCATAGGGATCTTTGGGCTGCTTTTTGTCTGGTCCCTCCCCTAAGACCTGTCTGCCTTGGGTGACCCTACCAGGGGCATGAAGCCCCCGACAGCATAGCTCTTAAGATCATTGGGGCCCTCAAACCCCTCCACCACAATAAGGTGGCAGCCCGAGGAGAGGGACTCAAAGTAGAGCCGCTGCTCCTCCACATCGAGAGGAGCCAGTTGAGGTGGCTCGGGCATCTGGTTAGGATGCCTCCTGGACGCCTCCCTGGTGAGGTGTTTCGGGCATGTCCCAACGGTAGGAGGCCCCGGGGAAGACCCAGGACACACTGGAGGGACTATGTCTCTCGGCTGGCCTGGGAACGCCTCGGGATTCCCCCGGAGGAGCTGGAGAGGGAAGTCTGGGCCTCCCTTCTTAGGCTGCTGTCCCCGTGACCCGACCTCAGATAAGCGGCAGAAGATGGATGGATGGATACTTACTTATGTTTCTGGTTGTAAAAGGACAAAATATAGAAAAGATAAAGAGATGTGAATACTTTTGTAAGATGTATTTCCTCATATTGTTTTTTTATGCTAAATTAGTTTGAGAATTGAGTCATTTCTTCAAGTAGCAAAGAATAGTGCCCACAGAGCATGATACTGCCACCATCTTACTTCACAGTGGTGATGTTCTCTGGGTTGAATGTTTCTGCCTTTTCTCTCTTCATTTTGACAGATTTGTCATTCAGTTTCCTACAGAATCAGAATCAGCCTTTATTGTCATTATACAGTTGCATATCATTATACATGCCTTCCATTGAGGAAGCTCTTGGTCAGGCTCTCCAGTCTCTGGGGACGAGATCATCAAGGTGGTTAAAAAGCTCCTCGGTGGCAGGGCCCCGGGGATGGATGAGATTCGCCCAGAATTTTTTAAGGCTCTGGATGTTGTAGGGTTGTGTTGGCTGACACGACTCTGCAGTATCGCATGGACATCAGGGGCAGTTCCCCTGGATTGGCAGACTGGGGTGGTGGTACCCCTGTTTAAAAAGGGGGACCGGAGAGTGTGCTCCAATTATAGAGGGATCACACACTTAAGCCTCCCCGGCAAGGTCTATTCAGGGGTCTTGGAGAGGAGGGTCCGTCGGATAGTTGAACCTCGGATTCTGGAAGAGCAGTGTGGTTTTCGTCCTGGTCGTGGAACACTGGACCAGCTCTACACCCTCAGCAGGGTCCTGGGAGTTCACCCAACCGGTCGACATGTATTTTATGGTCTTGGAGAAGGCGTTCGACCGTGTCCCTCGGGGAGCCCTGTGGGGGGTTATGCAGGAGTATGGGGTACTGGTCTCTTTGATACAGGCTGTCAGGTCCCTGTATGACCGGTGTCAGAGTCTGATCCGCTTTGCCGGCAATAAGCCGGGCTAGTTTCCGGTGAGGTTTGGACTCCACCAGGGCTTCCCTTTGACACCGATTCTGTTCATTACTTTCATGGACAGAAATTCCAGACGCAGCCGAGATGTTGAGGGGATCTGTTTTGGTGGCCTTGGGATCGCATCTCTGCTTTTTGCGGTTGATGTGGTCCTGTTGGCTTCATCAGGACGTGATCTGCAGCTCTTGCCGGAGCTGTTCACAGCTGAGTGTGAAGCGGCTCGGATGAGGATCAGTGCCTCCAAATCCAAGGCCATGGTCTTGAGCCAGAAAAGGGTAGAAAGCCTTCTCCAGGTCGAGGGGAGTGTCCTGCCCCAAGTGGAGGAGTTGAAGTATCTCGAGATCACAAAGCAAAGCTCTCGATTTACCAGTCGATCTACGTTCCTACTGTCATCTATGGTCATGAGCTTTGGGTCATGACTGAAAGCATGAGATTGTGGATACAAGTGGCCGAAATGGGTTTCCTCCGTAGGGTGTCTGGACTCTCCCTTAGAGATAGGATGAGAAGCTTGGTCACCCGGGAGGGACTCAGAGTAGAGCTGCTGCTCGTTCACATCGAGAGGAGCCAGTTGAGGCCAGTTGAGATGTTCAAGCATCTGGTTAGGATGCCTCCTGGACGCCTCCCTGGTGAGGTGTTTAAGACACGTCCCACAAGGAGGAGACCCCGGGGAAGACCCAGGACACACTGGGGGGACTATGTCTCTTGACTGGCCTGGGAACAGTCAAGAGCTCCTCAGGGATTCCCCCTGAGGAGCTGGAACAATTTGATGGGGAGAGGGAGGTCTGGGCCTCCCTTCTGAAGCTGCTAGCCCTGCGACCCGACCCGGATAAAGCGGAAGAAGATGGATGGATGGATGGAAGATTGGGGTAGACAGGGCCTGAGGCTGCAGCCATCATGGGAGGCCTTGATGGCTGCAGCCCTTTCATTGTATAGAATAGACTTTATTGATCCCCAATGGGAAATTGCTATTAAATATCAATAATACAAATATAACCAAATATGATGCTATATATCTATATCTAAATATCTCTTTCTCTCTCTCACTCTAACTTTCTCTGTTTATATATATATATATATATATATATATATATATATATATATATATATATATATATATATATATATATATATATAATTCCCTTCTCACCCACCGCGGGTGGTTCTTATCCTCTGAGCTCGGGTCCTCTACCAGAGGCCTGAGAGCTTGAGGGTCCTGCAGTATCTTGGCTGTGCCAAGGACTGCACATTTCTGGACTGAGATGTCTGATGTTGTTCCTGGGATCTGTTGTAGCCACTGCTCCAGTTTGGGGGTTACTGCCCCGAGGGCCCCGATGACCACAGGCACCTCTGTGGTCTTCACCTTCCAGGCCCTCTCCAGTTCCTCCCTGAGGCCCTGGTATTTCTCCAGTTTCTCGTGCTCCTTTTTCCTGATGTTGCAATCACTTGGTATTGCTACATCTACCACAACGGCTTTCCTCTGTTGTTTATCCACTACGACAATGTCTGGTTGGTTCACCATTACCATTTTGTCTGTCTGGATCTGGAAGTCCCACAGGATCTTAGCTCTGGTGTTCTCCACCACCTTTGGGGGTGTTTCCCACTTTGATCTCGGGGTTTCCAGTCCATATTCTGCACAGATGTTTCTGTACACTATGCCTGCCACTTGGTTATGTCGTTCCATGTATGCTTTCCCTGCCAGTATCTTGCACCCTGCTGTGATGTGCTGGACTGTCTCAACCTACACCTTGGGTCTTGTCTGGTGTGGTAGATCTGGGCCTCTATTGCTCTGGTGTTTAGGGCCTGTTCCTGTGCAGCCAGGATGAGGGCCTCTGTGCTGTCCTTGAGTCCAGCTTTTTCCAGCCATTGGTAGGATTTACTGATATCAGCCACTTCAGTTATTTGCTGGTGGTACATCCCATGTAGGGGCTTGTCTTCCCATGATGGTATCTCTGGCACCTCAACCTCCGTTCCCTGTTGCCTGAGACATTCACTGAGCACATTGTCTGTTGAGGCTTTGTCCCTGAATCTTAGATGTTTCATCCTGGACAGTGGTTCTCACACTCACTAGTCCTCTGCCTCCTTCCTTGCGGCTCGTGTACAGTCTCAGGGTGCTGGATTTGGGGTGGAACCCTCCATGCATGGTTAGTAGCTTTCTAGTCTTAATATCTGTGGCTTTTATCTCCTCCTTTGGCCAGCTAATTATTCCAGCAGGGTATCTGATTACTGGCAGGGCATAGCTGTTTATCGCACAGATTTTGTTCTTGCCATTGAGCTGGCTTCTCAGGACTTGCCTTATTCGTTGGAGGTATTTAGCTGTGGCTCCTTTCCTTCTGGCCTCATCGAGGTTGCCATTTGCTTGTGGTATACCTAGGTACTAGTAACTGTCCTCTATATCTACTATTGCTCCTTCTGGGAGTGAGACCCCTTCTGTGCGGATCACCTTATATATATATATATATATATATATTTATATATGGAAATTTATATTGGTCATAAGCCATAAGAGGAAAAAAAATATTGTAAACTTCTTACAATAATGGCCTCATTTTTTGCATTAAGTGATTTGTTTTTGGCGAAAAACAATTTAGTCCATTATTTTAGGGATGTGACAATGTGGGATATTGATATAAAAGCACATTTTCATATTGGTGCCTTCTCAGTTTAAAGCCTGTGTATACTTCTGTACACTATATGACCAAAAGTTTTGGAATACAGTGTGAATGTAAGAGATGGTGCATGAAGCTATGGTCATTTACTGATGACAGAGCGTAAACAACACAACTGTTAGGGGAAAACATTTTCCTTATGAGGCAGTAAACACAATCCCTATTATTTGGACTTGTTTTTCTAATTGGATCTGAATTTTCTACTTTATCATTGCAGGACATCTGTGGACAGAAGAGCTGTGACACACTGGGTGTGGCAGATGTTGGGACGATGTGCGATCCCAAGAGAAGCTGTTCAGTCATCGAGGACAATGGCCTGCAGGCTGCTTTCACAGCTGTGCACGAGCTGGGTGAGCCTTTCTTTAAAGTAATCGATTAAGCTCCTGAGGGCAAGAGAAACCACAGAGTGAAGTAGAAAAGCTGGGTTGAAATTGTTTTGATAATTTGCTGACTTTCCCCCGGCAGGCCATGTGCTGAGCATGCCCCACGACGACTCCAAGACTTGCGAGAAGTTGTTTGGAGATCTAGGAGGGTATTATCTGATGGCTCCTCTGTTTGTTAGTCTCAACAAATCGGCGCCGTGGTCTCCCTGCAGCTCTCTTTACATCACTGAGTTCTTCGACAACGGCCACGGTGAGTGATGCTGTGGTTCAGGCTCATGCCTCAGACCTGAAAACTCCTGCCAACTTGGACATTGGCTGTGGTTTTCTTATGGGGCTGATTCAGGGATATATTAAACAGAATGTTCTGCTCTCACGAATTATGTCTTTCCTGCTTAAACATGCCACATCCCCCCAAATTGCAGGTTGTGGTGACAGTTTATCTTGCGCGAGCTTTCCACATCCTCTTCTCTCCCTTTTGCGTCTCAGGCTTTTTTTCACTGAGAGTCCATCTCCAGTTCTGCCTCTCCTCCACTGTGTCATGTGTTTTGGATTGTTTATGTCCTTACTAGACCAATCGGTGAACCTTTCTTTCCACTGAGTCATGGCATGGACTCCTTCCTGTTCTCCACGTCAACAGCCAAATGCAGCAGCTGGTGCTGAAAAAAACCTGTTCTTTATCTCATGGAAAACATCTCTGGTAAAAAGTCACGTTGCTTGAAGTGCTCATTCTGAAATACTAATGTGATTATCACCTTCACTCAAATGTAATAAATTTCATTTGAGGAATGATAAAATGCCTTGATTTTGATTAGTCAGCAAGTTCAGATTCTGAGTAGTAAGCCTTACAGATGCATCTGTAAGGCTTACAATTTATTTCATGACATGACTTGCCCTGAATTTCTGCCTCATAGTGTCACACCACATGGAGAGAGAAACACATTACAACCACCACAGCAATGCAAAAGTTGATGATCTCTACCAGCCTGAATAGAATCCAGTGCTGATGTGTTCTCTAACCCTAGGAGACTGCCTCCTGGATGTCCCGGAGAGCCCCATTCCCCTCCCACCAGAGCTGCCTGGTACTGTGTACAACCTGGACCAACAGTGTCAGCAGATTTTTGGGGAGGAGTTTGTCCACTGCCCCAACACGTCAGACAGCGATATTTGCAGCCAGCTTTGGTGCCGAGAGGACGGTACAGGGCAGTGTTCCACCAAGAACGGCAGCCTGACCTGGGCCGATGGCACTCCTTGCAGGTCCAATGGGACCTGTCTACATGGAGCATGCAAGAGGACAGAGGAAGTGATGCAACCACTGGTATGATCATTACTTTGATGTTTAATTTCAAAGAAATACTTTTGCAAAGGTAAAACATCACTTTTTAATGGTTTCATATTCAGTGAAACAAATATATGGTGTCCCATATTGCATTGTGAAGGGCAAGGTCAGACTGGGAAGACTGGTCTTGCCAGTGCTACATGTACTACATGTACACTTTTTTCTGTTTACTTTACACATGTTAAAGAGTGTAAAGCCCACACATTAAAGTGTGGACTTGTCAAAGTAACACACAATGGGTGATTGAGCATGTGCTCAACTCTAGAGGGCAAAAAGACTATTATTTTCCTTGCCATCCATAGCTGTGCTGCTGTGATGGAACAACTCCGTTAACTAAGTGAATTAACATTAAACAAAAAGGACACAAAGAAAGTCAACCGTTAAAGAAAATAATCAAGTCTTGTCCTGTTTGTGTTTTCAATATCTTGAGAAATATGCACCAGCTCTCCTTTGGCAAGCGAGATGAGTTTTTAAATAAGCACTAAGTACTGATACATACTGGAGATGTCGGTATTATTCATTTAGCAAGGTGCCTTACAGCAAAGAAAATACATCAGAAAAACCATTGAAGAAGTTAAAATCGCTTGTATTCTTTTTTTTTTTGTAATCTAAAGTTCTGGAAACTTACTTATAGAAAGAAGTTTGTTTGGTTGAAGTGAACTCTGGTGCAATTCAAATGCATATGTGAACCAGAGACCAGAAGCCAGAAGCAAATTACCGTGAAGGGTATTCTGGGCAAATACAACCAAAACAAACACACAAGTCAAGAGCTAGTTGGAGAAATGGCTCGTGATCTTTAGCCATAGACTAAAGAGAAATCATCCAACCTCTAAAATTCGACGCCATTACATTTTTGTTTGGCCTCAGGCTGCACCCTTCGCCCCTCTACGTACTGTGGACACAGTCAAAGTGCACATAAGGGTTTGAGTGCGTAGGTTACAAGTGTGCAAAAATTTGAGAATTGATACATTAGGCCCTGTGTCATAACTTCAACATCCAAAATGGCGGGACTGGTCACTGTACGCTAATGTGATTATCATCTTCACAAATGGTTAAATTTGTGCTGCTAAAGAAGTACAACTACAACATGAAAAATTGATTTGACATGTACAATATAATGATTTTTGCTTTCCTAATGTAATGCTGAAATATTTGACTGTTCAAATGTGTTTTGTTATGACTTGTTAAATACAGAGCAAAATTTAATGTAACCACACATTCTCAGTGAAACAAAAATTATTTCAGTACTTTACATTTGAAAAAACTCATACCTTTTCTTTTTTTGCTGCCTGCTCTGTGAACATTGCCATATTTCCAAGATGGCAAAAAATACATGTTAAAATGTACTCATGTTAAATTTAGCAATCTGTGATTTAACTAATTAGAGACATGATTAATTAATCAGCTGCTCCTCAATGAACATGTCTTTAATGTGGCTAAAAGTTAGTTTGGTATAAATGTGTTATAAAGTGGAGCTAATGTGCTAACAAGCATCAAGTTAAGGACAAACATATGACATATAAAAATAGAAAAACAATCCTGATGCTACATTGTGAAAAGTAAAAAGACTAATGGAACTAACTTGCCCTTCTTTAAAGAAACCATAAAGGTTTTGACCCTGTACACCAAAAATGTTACAAGAAATTCACGTCAGGAACACTTTGACATCAATGTAATTCCACTCTAGCCAGAGACAAAACCCAGGATTTCCTCCAGTGTATTATAAGCCTGGCGGGCTGCTAGGCTTTACATGGCCCCCCACCAGGCTAAATGTTGTGTTTTTGTTTTTATTAAAAAGAAAAAAACATTTTTGACATTTATTTATTGTTTTTAAATAGGACTGACTCCAATCAGCAGTCTGATCATTAGCTCATTCACACACCCGCTATAAACTTATTGCATGTCTGTTAGCAGTTCTGTTTACATGCTATACATGTATAGTAGGATACATTTATTGGCCAACTGATTAATGGACCAGTTGATTTCTGGGCGCTGATTTTTTTTTAATTTTGAGGGATCGTCATTGGTCAATATTTACATGTGAAGCCCATCTTATCCTCTAATCTTATCTTCGTCATCAAAGGTTTAAAAATCAGTCTCCGTCCTCCTCTGCTCTACAGTGAGAGGTTTGACTGATATATGCAACTGACTGCAATTTTTGCAGAAAAGATTCTAATTTTATGCTTTTTTTTTTTGACATGTACAATGTCAGTTCTACACATTTACAGTTAACGACACTGTTGCCAACTCAGCAACTTTCTAGCCATATTTAGAAACATTTATGTAAAAAAAACCTGGTATCGGCCAAAATCAAAATCAGCAGCTCAGGCTTTTTAAAGATCGGTAACCAGGGATCGGCCAGAAAACAGCAATTGGTGCAGCCCTACACACATATTCATGACATTCTTTGATTAAACAAATTTCTCTTAAGCATTAGTCCAATAGCTAAGAACTGAATTTACACCAGGTGAATCTTTCTCCCCTGATAATGTAGATTGGTACTGGACTGATTCTGTGCATTCAAATGATTTTAACAGGAATTTCACATAACGTCGAAGTTGATGTAAAAATGATATTTATTTTAGCCACAAAATGATTATGCTCATCAGCAAACAACAAATCCCCAACTATAGCATAGAGCAGCTCATTGACGTAGCAGACATGTAGCCTGAAGTAAAGACATTTTGCTGGACAATGTCAAACATTGAGAAGTTTTAAGTATTGTTATCAAACCTTATCAAACACAGTGTTTTGAAGCCAAAAATACCTCAGAAATATACAGAGCCAACCATTTAAATCATCATTCAAAGTTTAAAGTCAGCTTCATACAAACACAAAGATCCTAGCATAAGTGTTTGGCTGTTGAACTGGACCGATCCAGGTCACTTTAAAGCTAATTTTCCATTTGCAGCTTTACTAATCTTTTACATTACGTTACCAAGGCATATTAAAACAAACTTTATCTTAACTTTTTTCTATTCATCCTCTTTCATTACTCCCTCCCTGAAGGATAAGTCCTTTTTTGAGACATTGTTTTGCTAACTTAACTTCTGACTGGAACTTTGGACGTTTGGATGCTCTGCTCATTATGTGGCAGCTCATGTTACCTACCGCGGCCCCCAGGGCTCCCAGGAGCAATTTTTTTTTTCCTTCTCATTTTATCCATAAAATAATGATTTCTATATACATTATCAAATATATGTTATTGTAAAAACAAATTACTTCATTGTAAAATTGTATGTTTTTGTTATTATGATGACATAGAAACTATTACTAAAAAAAATATATCAGCTCCACTGAAGGGGCCCCTTAGTGGCAAAAAAAAAAAAAATACAATTCTTTCTACCTTTTATGCTTTTGTTAGTGCTGCATGGTTCCATCGCCCTGTTCCATTTTAACTTGATTGTTCTGATATTCATACACACATGTCTGTGTGGATCCAGCTGGGATATTTGCTGGTCTGAACTTATAAAGCCTCCAGAAAGGAAACCAAAACCACAACACCAAACAAAAACACCCTCAGTTGCCACATAAAGTGTTGAAACATGGGCAGCCTCTACTAGCTATGAGTGACACATGCGGCAAGAATGTGGGCAGACAGAGACAGGGGGCGCGTGCCGCACTTCAGCACAAATTTAGCCCTGAGTCTGAGCATTCTAACACACTTTGCAGCCTCAAACCCAGAAGCCCAGACTGTGGTTACGGCTGCACAGCCTTTGGCTTGGAGCTCAAACCAATCACTGTGACTCCTTCTTTTCTTTCTCTGTGTTTAACCGCAGAGGGCTGTGGATGGCAGCTGGAGCTTATGGGGATCGTGGCAGCAGTGCTCCAGAACCTGTGGAGGTGGGGTGGAGTTCTCCTACAGGCAGTGCACTGATCCTGTGCCTCAGAATGGTGGAAAGTACTGTGAGGGACAGAGAGTTCGATACAAGTCCTGCAACACAGAGCCTTGTAACGCCAGTGAAGGTAATATCAATTTAACTTAAAAAAGGTAAAAAGGTCAGATACTTTATACTGGAACTATCTTTGTAAAACTGTGGTCTCGCCCCCTAGTGGTTCACAAGGTACAGCATGCCAACGGCCATTTATTTGCCATGAAGTGAGCTCAAAGTGTGACAGTGTGACAAAATAACAATATTTTGTTATATTGTTATTTTGTCACACTTTGACAAAATAACAATAGATATATGGCTTAAAAGCAGATCATTCAAAAGAAGAGCTATTGAGTGGAAAGAAAACAATGCCATGCAATGCATGTCTGTGGGAATATTTTTTAGTTTTCCTGATTGAGTTGCAGAACTTTTGTTTTGAGGACACTATTAGGATACATAGTGTTCCACCGAAATGCAGATGTAGGTTTGCCCGGCCTGCGGTTGTGGCTGTACGGAGTGCAATACAGTGAGAGGTGCACCTCGTGCTGACTAACTGAATCTGTAACACCTAAAATAAAATACTTATAAATGTTGCCCATACTTAGGGCTGAAAGGTATGCACAACAACCCGACTTTAACTTTCAAGTCTATTTTGCTTTTATTATGCTTTGAACTTACAGGAAGGCATACAATGTTATTAATCCCTACAACAGTAGCTATTGTTTATGATTTCAATGTGTTTTCTATCATTGCAAAGCTTAGAATCCGTGGTCGTAAGATAAGGCTTCTTCACAGAAGGTGTTCCTGCTAAAGACCCCGTTAGGGAGAAGGGTGACCGGAAAATGGATGGATGGATGAATGTTTTCCATGTGTGGCGGACTTATTCATTTAAAAATGTTAAATCATAACTCGCCTCCAAATTATAGTGCAGCAGATAGAGTGGCTGCTCTCGCCGTCTTTTATCCAACGCCTTTTCTTTTTGTTTTGTCTTTTATCGCTTAAAATGATCCACAAACTATCACTACTGCTTCTACATCAGCATTGTGTTTGATTATTCTAAATTCACTATGGTATTTCGGGGGTTTTACTGGACTTTCTTCTGGAATTGGGATGTTGGCAAGTGGAATCGGCTCGTGTGGTGTGTTGCTCCTGCCGTGTGGCTGGACACAAGAGCCGATTGAACCTGTTGGACTTTTATTGGCTGTGTGGTCTCAGAAGTTTGGGAAATTGGCAAACAATCCTTAAATAATGCCGTGTGAACCAGACCGAAAACTCACAAGCTCTACTCCTCTCATCTCTTCTTGACCACTGCCCTAAAGCTCTCTGACTCTGGTCACTATGGTAACGTTGACATATTCCTTCAAATTAAGATGCAGATGCGCCACAAACACGAACGTTTGACTTTTGTGGAAATTTTAACTCACGATAACGACTGATAGAGTCCTGAGATTGTTTCCCCTATCTGGGAGACAATGACACCCAAAGTGTTGCTGATGCTCAGGGTTCTTGGTCTCTATGTAGTGAAGCAGTTTGAAGCTTCATTGCCTCATCAACGAGTCGGTCAGCATATCATGCAGAGCGGCCTTGGAATGTGGGAATCACCTACTGGGATAAATCAATTCTCCTCTCTCTTCTCTTTTCCCCTTTGCAATGACATTTTCCAAAGAAATCTGATTTGTTTCTGACTGAAGACGTAACCGAGAGAATCCAGTTAAAGAATTTTCAAAATAAAATATCCTCCAGACTCAAATAATACATAAAATGGAAATCTTTAATTATTTCTGGCGTGGCCCGGTACCAATTGGTCAACGAACCGGTACTGGGCCACGGCCCGGGGTTGTGGACCAGTGCTTTAAAGTATTCTGTTGTAACAGGGCAATTTCAAATGTAAATTTACTTATATGATCAAATTCCAGTTTCTTCAAGTGAAGTTACATGGGATGAAATGTGACATACACCACATGTGGTTCTGTCCGTAGTAGGACTTTTTAGTAGCTGTGTCTCTGTTAACTATATAATAGCACAAATTAAAGCTAAAAAAATTCATTCAGCAAGGCAATTAAAAAAATGATATCCAAACAAATAAACTTACTTGTGAGCTATGTATATGACTCGATACTGTTGTGCAAAGGAAAATCAATGCATCCATAAAAAAATTATCAAAAAGATGATAATCTTAATATGGAGCTTACCTTGTTATGATTAGCTCCAAACAAGATGCAATAATGCTGTCCCCGCTCCTTGAGCCAACACGTGACATCACAGATATGTTACAATTGTGTTGATTTCAGAATCAACACCAAACAAGAGTTGCTTAAATTTAACTCTTTGGAATAATACCAACTCTGTAGGGAAATTAACAAGCATTGAATTAACACAGGATTTTGAACATCCAACACTGGAAATGTAGCAGTTTTGAATTTGCAGTGTACACACACATGCACACGCACAGGCGCACACAGGCATAGTTTGTATTTTATTGGAATTTATACTAGAGCCAAATTTAAAGCAATATCAAGTTTGTACACAAAAAGTATCTCAGTTCCATTGGCATCAAAAGAGCCAAGTAACCTCTTCTGGCCTTAACAACAGCTTAATGTGGCATTAATGATTGGTCTTCCGCTTTTCAACTGACTGTATTTTTATTTATTACAGATTGTCCCAACAACAAAAATAAATCCCTGCTTTAAGTGATAGTGGAAACTTCATACAACAATCCAGGATTTTTTTGGTCATAACTCTAAACTGTAGCCTAACTTCAGAGTTGATAGCTTTTGACATATGAGTTAATCTGCTGCATTTCTAGAGCAGTTCAAAATAAATTTAAAAAAAGACATGTTTGATATCTTTGCTAATAATGAGGTGATCTGATTATAAGAGTTCTACATTTAAGCAAAGGTTCTATGTCCCATGTGTAGGGAAAAGTTTCAGAGAAGAGCAGTGTGAGAAATACAACAGCCCTCACTACCTGGACTACAATGGAAATGTCAAACAATGGATCCCAAAGTATGCAGGAGTTTCCCCCAGAGACCGCTGTAAGCTGTTCTGCAGGGCAAGGGGCAGCAGTGAGTTTAAAGTATTTGAATCAAAGGTACAGTATCTACATGGAACTCCACAACACAAGGGAAATATTAATTCGGTTAGATTTTTTGAGATTAAAAAAATAGTTGTGCAAACATATTTTTTATATTATTTGCTGTCAGATATATTTTTAAGAGGTGATTTATTATTTATTAGTCTACACTAATGTTTTTTATCATAATGTTAGAATAATTTTGGGGGTCTTCTGAAAAATGTAGCTGTTTCATTAGTTTTCTGCTCTCGTTTATACCTTTTACTGTCAGGGTTATATTCGGATCTAAGCTTGGATGTTTTTTTGTATTTTTACCCGAATTCACTGACAAAATCTTGGAGTTAAAACTATCCTTAAAGCTTCAGTATGTAACTTTTAGAAAAGTGTGTTTTTTACGTATTTGTCAACTATTTCATGACAGTAGATGATATAACAGATAATCTGTGACATAAATTGATCTCCCCTGGTCCTCCTTTTGTCCAGCTGCAGAAATTCACTGCTCAGTCAGAAACGTCCACCCAGAGCCAGGAAAATGGTCTTAGCACCGTCAATCACCTTGTGTACTCCTTGCTCAATGTGCTAATAGCTTAGAAACACCTAACAGTTCAAGGAAACTATTTATGGTGGCCAAGCTCACTATCCAGAGAACAAAAAGGAGGGTCTGAGCAACAGGGGTGGATTTCTTCCTTCACAGGTTAGAGGAGGCAGAATTACTCAATTTTTTCACAGATTATCTGTCTGGTTGTCTTCCCTGTATCATTGCTAAGTTTTAAAAAATCAAACTAAAAATGTGATTTTATTTGAATGCTGCTTTTCATCTATAATGATACCTGTGCAATTTCTCTCCACGCCCCAGCAGGTGATTGACGGGACAACCTGTGGCCCTGACACCACATCAGTGTGTGTTCAAGGCCAGTGTGTGAAAGCAGGCTGTGACCAGGTGATAGGATCTAACAAGAGGGTGGATAAATGTGGAGAGTGTGGAGGAACTGGGCTCAGCTGCAGAAAGATAACAGGCTTCTACAACAAAGGAATGTAAGACCACAACAACCAGACACATTCAAATCTGCCCTCATTAGAAATGAGAACAGTTGGAACAGCAGCTGAACACTCTGCTTGCTAATCAAACGAAACAGCAATAACCCTGTGAGCTCATTTCAGAAAGGCAGTTTGAAGCTTATCAATGTTATCACAGGATAACCTAGCTTAGCTTAGCTTAGCTTACGGTAGGGTGATATAAAACTTCACTAACAGTTAATATATCAGCTAAAGTAAAAAACCTTCGGTAGCACTTTATACTTATTTAGCACTTGACCTTATTTAGCCATAAATAGAAAATAATAAATAGCTAATATTCAATGTTTATTCATGAATAAACATTGAGTGTGTTGGTTTTGGGAGTAATTAGTCATTATAGGTAAAGCATAATGAGTAACAAACTATAGATGGGTTCATTTATAGCTTGTTAAGTATAAGTCACCCTTAATTAATGTTGTTTTCAAGGTTAATGAACTTTTTATTAATAGTTCAATATGGCTAAATATGTAGTTATTATAAAGTGCCATCAAACTTTCTCAGCACCTGACGATGAAACATAAACTTAGCAAATGAGAGTGTTCTCTAAATGCTTTTCCTTTTTGCTTTTCCTTTAGTTTTGGCTACAGCGACATTGTCACCATTCCCATTGGTGCCACCAACATTGACATCAAGCAGAGGAGCCATAGAGGAATCAAGCATGATGGGAACTACCTGGCTGTGAAGCGAGAAAACGGAGCTTACATCCTCAATGGTAACTTTTCTGTATCCACAGTGGAGCAGGATATTCCCATACTGGGAGCAGTGCTGAAGTACAGTGGCTCCTCCACCACATTAGAGAGGATCCAGAGCTTCAGGCAGCTGAAGGAAGCCATAACCATCCAGGTTCTGGCCACAGGAGGGGATGCCAATCCCCCCAAGATCAAATACACCTTTTTCATCCCGAAGGACACAGTGTTTAACAAATCTAAAGAGAAAAAGGGCTTGTACTTGTCTTTGCATATGATCAGTGATGTCTCTGACTGGGTGCTGGGAGAGTGGTCTGAGTGCTCCAAGAGCTGTGGCTCTGGATGGACCAGAAGGAGCGTTGAATGCAGAGACGGCGACGGCTTCTTCTCCAGCCAATGTGACAGGGAGCTGAAGCCCACAGACATCCGGCCTTGTGGAGATGTACCGTGTCCCATCTGGCAGATGGGTCCTTGGTCTGCCTGCTCACGAACTTGCGGTCAGGGCGAGCGCCACCGCAGCGTGTTCTGCATAGATTACACGGGGAAGACCGTTGAACCAGAGATGTGTGATCCAAATAAAATCCCAGAGCCAGCCTCTGGGCAATGTAACAATCATGACTGCTCATGAAAAACATGATTACAATGAACAGTCTTTATTTATTGTTTTATTTTTTTTTGGTCAGAGTGCACATACAAATCCTGGATGGAAGCCCCAGCAGCAGACGTTTTGGAACAAACAGCTGTAGATATTGGTGATTACCAAGAAATCAAAGAAGATCTGGACTCTACATTTTAGAGAAAAGTCTTCAACTTTTGACTAAAAAGAAATGATAAACAACTAAAATCTAAAACCACCTTGATTTCATTCCTAAGAATTATTTCTAAGATATAGAGGAGCTATAGCTAAAGCAACATTGTTCCCATTCCCATTGGTGCCACCAACATTGACATCAAGCACAGGAAGCCTGGCTGTTCAACCATACATCCATGATTGAAGGGGGCTGCATAAACTTGTATGTCAATTTTCCTGGTCCCACTATAATTTGACTTCTGTTAACATTTAACATCCACTATTAAGATTCGGAACAGTGAAAAACTACCTCAGGATGCACATGTGATGCTAGGTGTAAATGCTAATTTTTGATGTAGTGTGTGCTTTCTTTAGAACGAGATTTAAAAGCAAAGAATTAAGTTCAGGAATAAATTTGGCATAATTTGCCATTTGTTTCCTAGATTTAGGTGCCATTGTGAGTCCAAAACATTAACAAGAGCCAACACAGAGTCTGTATATCCTGGAGAACTTTGATCGGACAATTAAGACATGAGGCTATTTAAGCTTTGAGGAAAAGTGTTAATCTTAATGAAGATCAGATCTGAGTGAATTCACCAAAATGATAATGTCAGTCCCTTCAAAACCATCCATTTCTTACCCTTATAAACCACTGCATCCATAATTCCTATGGAGATGGTCATGAAAATCTTCAAATCTTATGTTTAATTTGTAATTTCATATCATCTCCTGAAAACCTATCACCTGGCCATGTTTTTGTAGTTATCCCTATTTTTGCCTATTAGCTTTTACAAAATGTGACAAATTATAACCTCTGGCCAACCATTGAACAAATGCTTTCCCATTGATAGAAATTATTCAAGAGAATCATAAAACTGCATTATTTTAAAATTCTTATCTTCTCACCCTCACCATCATCCTGTAGGCACAAACTCTTACACGATTAGTGAAGAATAACTAAAATTATAAAGAATTATGAAAGAAATAAAGTCAATAAAAAAAAGACCCGAAAAGACTTTTGCTGAAAAAAGATATTTTTTCTACAAGTTATATTGTGGATTATGTTTTCAGTGTTCTTCCAGGTTATTGTTTTTTATTAATTCTGAGCCTTCATCAAACAAGACAGACTTGGTCCAAAGCCACAGAAGCTGAAATTCTGAAAACATGAATTTGTTCCAATTTAAACATTGTGTGAAATGTCTAATCTTTGTTACACATACAAGACATCCTCTGTCTTGCAGTTTGAGTAGTGATGAAATATTTATTGCAACAAATCATTTTTTTTCAGTACATTTATGTCTTGTATGTTAAGTGATAAACATTATATCTTTGTTGATTTTAAAAAGTACTGCTAATTTAATTTGCCTTCAGTCTTTGTGGTTATTTCTGTCTCCTGTATGTATATTTGATGTATTCATTTCTTTTGTTAACTTACAGTATAATATAAGATAAAAGAAATGGGATGTAAGGCTGATATTCCTTCAATGAAGGACAATGCTAAAGTATTGTTACAGCTTTCTAAGCTATTTATTTTTGTAAAGATTTTACTTTAATTATGTAAATATCATGGTATATCCTGCTGTCTTTGAATTTTTTTTGTTTGTTTGTTCATAAAATGGTCAAATAAACACATTTATGTTAACAAATGTCTCCTCTCTGCACATAAGTAAAGAAAAACTCCCTGGTAAAACCATATGGAACCTGAAAAAAGTAGTAAGATTTTGTCACATTCAGCCATAAACTTCAATGCTTTTTAAATGATAGAGCAACACAAACTGTAGCGTAGTAGTAAAATGAAGGAAAACCAGACATGTTTGCTTTGAAAGTAAAAATCTTGAAAGTGCTGCATACGTACTAATTCAACTCCTTTTGATTAATTAATTGATTGATTCATTCATTTCATTTAAATGGAGCTGTGCATATTAATGACTAGAAGGTTGTTGTAAATATACCAGATTTAGCATAATGCTAATTCCATCCATATTCCTCAAATAACTCAAATTGACCTAATTACCAGAAGAACTGTCCACCTCTGTATTTTTTTGGAAGTCAAGTCTGGAACACAACAGACCTTTTATGTTTTCCATAAAAGGTCAACATTATGGAGAAGTTTAAAGCAGTTTGTTTCTAATATCTACGCTTTGAACATCTTGCATTTGTTCAATCCATTATCTAAAATGAAAGGTCTGTGACAACTTCAAACCTACCAGGATGACTGAAACATTTAGCAGAGAAGCAGCCAGGAGCCCCAAGGTACCTCTGAAGAAGCTGCAGAAATCCTGCAGAAATGCTTTAGAGGGACAGCATCTGTCCTCCACAGATTCAAGAAGAAAGCCACAGTTTCAAACTAACGTGGAAGAACATGAATGTGAGTAAATGAGCCCAAAACTGAACTTTTTTGTTAACATGGCACTAGTGAAAATCACCATCTGATTACCTCAGTTTTATTAATGAAGCTTAATAGCATAATTGCCTAAGACATTTTTTGACCAAATTGAGATATATGCCAAACTTTACTCTAATCCCCCTGCTGCATCATCCTACCTTATTACCAATGTCTTCAGCCAATCAGAACTCTGTAGACAATAAACGTACTTTCAGTCAATCAAAGGGCTTTTGACTGTGTGTTTAAACTTTTAACCGCATTTCTACCACAAGGTAGCATAAGAATTTGCCAATGTCAACAAAGTTTTATCAACAATATTTTGTCTAATTTCTAGTCCAAACAATCTCTTCACACTTAATATAATAAAAATGAGGGCAGATCATAATGGGCAAATATTGGCAAACAAGCTGGGTGCTGTAGACTCTCTGGAAATTACTGTGGATTACTGTGGACTCTGGAAATTACATTATGGACAACCTGGATCATCCTCTTTTTCAGGCCGTTATAAAACAAAGTATTTTCAATCAGAGGCTGAAGAAATACAGATTGCTGCAGGAGAGCATTTCTGTTACCGTCCATGAGCATCTACAACACATTTTTAACTAAACATAAGTTCCAACATTAAATTTCCCTTTGTGATAATGACATATATTTTAAATTAATTGAATTATACAGGTAAATGAAAACCAACAAATATGGTAAGTTGATTTCAAGACAAAGAAGTCGTGAAGGTCTTAAGTTATAGTTTAAGGAAACAACAATACATTGATGGTGATGGAAACAGGAACAGCTGTGCTCTGTCAACCATGGAGAAATGGGGGTGGAGTGTAGCACTACTTTGAATGTGGTCTCTGCAAAACATGAACCTGTGTCATAGGATAAATGAGTAATGAGTATGAGTAGTAAATGATAAATGAGTCTGTGTATTCATTTAGGTTTCTGTGTCTATTGAGTGTCCATGTTGTCCCTGCTGTGTCTCATTTCCCTGATTACCCTCTGTGTATTTAATCCCACCTGTGTTCCTTGTTGGGTCCTTGTCTAATCTGTCTTGTCATGCTGTCTAGTTGTGTCAAGTCATCTTATCAAGTCAGTCTTCAATTGTATGCATTTCCAGTAGCTACCAGTTGTGAGCATTAGTCTTCTGCTCATCTGTGCTGGCTGGATTTTGTATTTTGTTATCATTTATCATTAAATCATCATCTCCTTCACACAAATCTGGGTCCTCTGCGTCTGCCTCACCACCTCGAACTGCAATTCATGACCTTTAGAGGGGATATAGATATATATACATCTAAGAAATAAATGTCCTTTTACATATTTTATCTTTTGGGAGATCCCAGTCAATTCTATCAAAAACAGTCTTGCTAGTTGAATAAAATGACCAGGGGTTTTAATGATTTTCTGCTTTACTGTAAGCAATAAACATTTGCACAAGCTGTAGTATGCATGAATAGTGCATTTTCTAATTACTGTATGCACATTTATATTCAGCTTCTTCACTTGAGATTGTTAAATTAAATTGTTATCAGAAATTACCTGTCTGCAATTCTTTCAATGTAAATCCAACTGTTTTGTGAAGGCTCTAAAATTTTAGAGCATTAGTAATAAACAACTGCTTCACAAAGACTAAAAACAACATACAGGTCATTTAGAAAAAAAGCTGTGGAGAACTAAGAAGATTATAAAACAATATTCAAAGTTTTGAATATTGTTGTGTCAAGTCATAAAACAATATTCAAAGTTTTGAATATTGTTTTATGCAAACCTCTGGTTAACAGTTTTTGAGAAGCTGCAAAATCCATTGCTCAGATGGATACTTTCAGATCATCCACAGTGAATACATGGTGGTGGCTGTGTAACCCAGCTATATTTGTGTAGCGTGTGTTATTTGTTTTTTTGTATTGCTTTTACTTTATGGGTACTGCCCCTTTAAGAGCGAAGTACTGCAGCACTTTACAGCAGCATTCTGACTGCAGTTGCTATGGAAACTCCTGGGCTTCAAAGTTTCAGAGCTGCTGCAGAACTGAGACATGCCGGTTTCTGCTCAGCTTCTGCATGTTGCCTGACTGCTTCATGCCTCAGATATGTTTTCATATGTTTTCCTGCTAGAGCTTCATTGTTATTGTGGCTGATTTGGTGGGAGGATCATTAGGAATCTGTTCGTGTTCCTGCTATCAGAGGAACAGAGAAGCTGCTGAGTTCTGGGTCTGTGGAGCCGCTGCATCTTCATTCTGGGTCTCCATCCCAGTCAGAACCACCTCTAGCATCATCTTTTCATATGCATCACACACCAAATATAGAGCTCTATATGAACAATATTTGTTTTGTTTTGCTGGCCAGCTTCTTTTATTTTTTTACCTTGGACCATGAAAGGATTCTCTGAGAGATAAATAGTTTCTTATTCTATTTTCACATTTATAAGACTTACTCCTGAGAGTATGTTTAGAGTGAATGTTGTTTGTTTGTTTGTTGATGTTTTTGAGGTAAACTGACTGAGTTAAGACATGGTTGAATGTGTTTCAGTCCAGTAATTTGTAATAAATTTAACTGGTTGATAGTGAACTGCTATCTGAACCCGAGTGAATTCTATTCTTTGGTTACAACTGCACAGTGATGAGAACTGCTGGGAAGATAGATGACACTAACAACGGAAAATACTGGAAAGATCAAAACTGTTGTTCTCCAGAAGGGCACTGACCATAAACTTTCAACTGATACAAAATTGGTTTACATGAGTGTTTCTCAAACTTTTTCAGGATGAGGACTACTTAATCCATTTAACAAACACTCACGGACCTGAAATTGCGATGAGGCAACTTAAAATTCAAACTGAAATAAAAATATTAGTCTCTTAACTCGAATATTGTTGTTTTCTTTGTTCATCCTAATTAGAAGAGTGGTGCAGATAATAAAGAAAACACAGTGAGGACGGGCCTGTCGTGAACTGTCCAGGGGACAACATAGGGGGCAAACCCATGGTGACTGATCTGGAGGATGGGAACGGCGCAGGCTGGACCCACGAAGAGGCAGAGGCAGTTGGCCCATAGGCTGGCAGAACCCACAACAAGGGTGCACAGGAGGACAAGGAGGACAAGGAGGACAAGGAGGAGCACCGGCTGGCTGGAGCACCAGGAGCACCGACAGCGCAACGGGACTAAGCTACCAGAGCTAATGAAAAGGAGATGATTGGCCTCAGTGGTGAGACATCTGGGTCACTGCGAGGTAAACGCCACAACATCAGACCAACATGCACGTCAATTAAAGAGGCGATACAGCAAGACCATGGTGGACCAACAAGTGGGGGAGCAAGTTACAGAGACTGTTTTCATTATTTACCACACAAGAGGTAAATAATAAAAATACATTAGTAGAGGCCAAAGGAGGAGCGAGTTGGAGAGGCTGAGGAGGAAACCCCAGGAGAGGAGCTCAACAAGGCTGCACAATCTGAAGAGGAACATCAACCATTTGTGTTGAAATATCTGTACAGTTGGAAGTGTCTGTTTTTTCTCATTTCATAATTTAATGTGGTAAACATTCATGAAATGTTTGATTCAATGACTTCAAGTTGCTTGTAAACAGGTGATAAAATGAATCACATTTTAAGTAAATATTTGTTGTATTTAACATATTTCAGGTAAGAAGTGAACATGTAATGAAAAAGATCCTGTCCTAGAATTTTATGTAATTGAACATTACAGGTATCAAATGTGATGATCATCTGAAGTAATACATTTTATTAACATTTAAAAAAAATATTTTTTAAATGTAAAATTAGTTCAATAAAAAAGTGGTCAAAATGTAATAAAGATGAGTATGCTTCATCTATACAGTACAGTAGAATAATTTCACACTGATTTTGAGTTAATGGGCACACAATTTGGAAACTATTGAAGAAAACATTTAACATTAAAATTACTTAAAATGTTGAATATTTTAAGTCCGTCAGTCTAATCAGGTTAGACTGACGGACCGGCCCACCAGGTGAGGTCTGAACATTTACAGTTATTTATAGCATAAATTACCACTTTTTTTGTACCAGTTGGTCACAAGGCAATGCATTTATTTACAGGAGCGCAAGGCGTAAACGTCACACAAAGTGACGTCAGTTCCAAAGCTCTATAAGATACATTTATTGGCCAACTGATTTATCGACCACTTGATTTGTGGCGCCGATTAAAAATATTTTTCCATTTCTGTTAAAACTGTCATTATGTTGAGACAGTATGGCTTGAGAGATAATTTGTGAAATATCTATTTCCTCTGCTATCTAGAAACAGCTAATCAGAAGCAGGAGAGTTTTAGTGCTGTCAATCACAATCTCATGTGGCTGCTCCTCCCTATGCTGTAGCTAGCATAGCCTTTTGTGAATGCTCAGTCTAGTTAGCATAGCTCCCAATGACAGCAGATAAACATTTTTCCTGTAATAAGTTGATTTCCCACCATTATTACATTTAGCAGTGAGTGAATGAGATTGATTGAGAGCGCTAAGACCCTCCTCCTGGTTCTGATTGGTTGTTTTGGTTGCATTACAGTAATAACAGCTCAAGGAGAAGCTGGAGGAGACTGATTGTTTTCACAGATGATCTGTCTCATGACAAACTGACAGCTTTAACAGATGTTATAAGTATTTTTTATGAAAGTTCTATACTGCAGCTTGAATCAAATGCAACTTTATAGCATTTTATGAGAAGTCTGGATTGCTTCATGTATTTTACATGTTGGTTTTGACTGTTGTTCATGAGGAGAGACATTTCAGTGTCTAAAACTAATAGAAAAAAATTAAGCAACCCACTTGCATACTGTATGTGGACTGTTGGATCTAAAATTCATGAACAGTAAATATTGTGCTAGTTTCCTTTAAAATGATGACAGACTGAAGAAATTGCAACAGCAGCTGCTTGGGGGGCCCCAATTTTATGTTTTGTCATGGGGTCCAAGATTCCTGGCAGCGCCCCTGTACACAAAGAAAGGGGTTTTCCATTAACTTCAACCATTTGTTATCAATCCAAATAACAGTGGACCAGAATTCAAACACCACTTCAGGTGGACAAACTACAATTGTTCACTGCAAACCTAAACATAGAATCAGCAACATGATTCGATGTTGATGATGAAATAAAATCATATGGTAATGACAATGTAACTTGTCTGATAGATCTAGCCGTCAGTTCGTGCTAAGCGTGTTACGGTCTGACAGAACACCGGAGCGTCACTGAGCTGCCAGGGCCGTTTTAATTACAGTTATATCTACGAAAAATGAAAATAAAAAATACACTAAATGTAATTCTGTTGAAAGGAAATCAGTGTTGATCTTCAACCCACTTTGAACTATCCGATCTTATCTGACGCTGAGACCGTTCTGACCCTAGGAATGAAGTGGAAGTGTTTCGGTTTCCGAGGTAACGCTTGTGTCGCCAAATGTGACACTTCCTGTTTCTTCCAGTATGACACAGTGCGGGTTACGCGTTGCATTGTGGGGGTAAAAATATAGCATAGATAAGACAACGGGAACCACAAAGGAATGAAAACAGTACCTCGGTAACTGTTTTCATTTACCGAGGGGTAGAACCTATTTATGGGAATGTGAATCCGTCAGAGCGGCCTCAAACGGTGAGCAGGGGCGGCTGGCCTCAGAGGAGCGGGGAATGTGAGCGGGTGTTGCGGCGCAGCTGCAGCAGGGCGCACCGCTGTCTTCGACTGCTTTTTGTCAGCTGAGCCATCAGCATCCAGAGGCCCCGGCTGCTTTTCCAGGCCTCCCGCCCAAAGGTAAATTAAATTCTTACTGTCATTTCCAAACGAGGGATATCCGTGTGTGAGACGCTAACTCGTTTCTTAGTTGCGTCTGCTTTGGGGAGACGACCCGAGTTAACTAACCGTGATATTTGGTCAGGGAGCTTTAGCATAGCAGCTAACGACGGTTAGCTGTACCATCAAAACAAACGGTTGGAAACGATCAAAGCGAAAACTGTTGACTTCCAAATAAGGTTATTGACATGTATTCTTTGTAGTTGATGATGAAGTTACTCAGTTTTGTGCACTGATTTGTGAAAGTTTATTTTACGATAAGACTTAATAGAAATAGCAGAGTTAGTAGAACTTATAGATGCAGTCAGCTGTCGATGTCTTATTTGGGCAGATGGGCTCAGAAAAGCTGTCGAACGCTCATCTGACTTTACACTCGAGTTTCAGCCAGTTAGCCTTAAGCTCCCATTTACAATTGTAGCAGATTTGTGTTGAGCATCTTGTCCGTTTGTCCTGCAGCTGATGCCAGCTTTCCTCAACCTGTTTTTGTACAGCCGAGAATGAAAACGGTAGATTAGTAGAAGGTCCCAGTTGATAGCTTCGCCTACTTGTTTTCAGCAAAAATGAATTTTTAAAGATGTATTTGTGGAATGGACGAGCTTTAGCTTATGTCTTTTAAGCTTTATTGACTGTTGCAAAAACACAGACCAACGGACGGCAGCTCAATCGGTTTCCCCCAGAACCCCACACACAACATACAAGTCGTCTGCTGTAAGCACAGTAACGTAAAGTAACAGCGTTCTACACTTGACATCTCCCCCTGTTTAAAAAACAAAAAACAAACCATGTTTGCCGAAACTTTAAACGACATTAATGAATTCTTTGTTAGCCACAGTAACTAATTGTAGTCAGTCTTTCTATTCAGATGTTACTTATGCCTGTGGTATGTTTAAAGGAACTGAAGTTGAATACTATAATTAAAGCTTTAAATGAACCTCTTTACACTTCCTAAAAATAGTAAAGTATGCAATTTAAAGCATAACTGAAAATACCAGCTCATCTTTATAAATTTAAAAATCAAGATTCTACCAAATTAAGATAGTTCCTTGAACATTCACAGAAACTTAACTTCTCTTCTTTTTCCCCTTCTATTTTCATATTAATAATACCCCCCCTCCAAAAAGAGAGCATCTAACAAATTGCTTGAGAGTCTGCAAAGTTAATCTCTGAACTGGTTTGCACAAGCCTCCGTATCTAGTTCGAATATGTCCTGGTGCACTCGTAGGGATGGGTGCTGGAACCTCAGTCTCAATCGAGTCTGCAGAAGCAGAATCTGGAGAATCTCTATAGATTCTGGCGCTGGGGACACTGTCCATCTCAGCAGTTTTAGTTTAAGCAGGTTGTGCAGATGGTTCAGCTCTGAGTATGGATATAGTGATACAATAATCTCACAATACAATACAATATTCTGATCACAATACATATCACAATATTTGGCAGGCGATACGATTCTACGCACTTACACAAGTTTCTGAAAGATTTTAGGACAGAGTGATTTTAGCGACATTTTGTGTTCCATAGAGTTAGATTTAATTAACTGAAAACTGATTAAAAGCACCAACTACACAATACCTGACTCTGATTGGACAGAGTCTAACAGCTGGACAAAATAAATCAAAGATAAAGTGAGAAAATTTGTTTCTGTCATTTAATTCATGTCGATTTGACATGAAATGCAAAGTTTCAACAATGCTTCAGGAGCTGAGTGATTTACCTTTGGGCGGGAGGCCTGCAGACTCTCAATATACAAATTATTGCACTTATGTTTTTCTTTTGGGCATACTGTGGCTGCATTTTGTACTTTGAGATACAGAAAACAAAATCCGATTTGAAAAGATGTAAATTTTTTGTTGTGAAACGCTCAAATATTCGTAGCAAATGGTTTTTATAATTTAGAATGACAATATATACCATACATGTTTGCTTAATTTCTCCTCTTTTGTTTTAGTTAAAGTTGTGACTAGATGTAACTGTTAACCTCTCCCGCAGTCTTAGCGTGGCTCTCAGGAGAAGCGTGGCGAAGCGTGGTAGATGTCATGATCAGCCAGATGGGCGATCCGTCTGCTTTTCAGTTTGCAAAACCACAAAAAAATCTGTTAAATCGGTGTGCCCGCTAGAATGTGCACATGGTAAAATGCTCAGGAGACCATGGGCATAAATCCCGGGGTGGTTGGGAGGGTCCGGACACCCACAATCTTGGAAAAGTATGGAATTGTCCCTTCCAAAGAAATCATGAAGGAAAACCTTGTTTTTAAACATTGTCAATTATGGTTGAAATGATTCCTCAAGCAATTCGAGTACTTTGATTATTAAAATTCCTTGAGGAAAATTTATCTGCCTCCAAGCTTCATTAATTTATGTTTTATTATTTAGTGCACCATGTTCCGGCCGGGTTATTACTTGCTTAAGTTGTTGACAAAAGCTAACTGTTAGCAGCTTGATGTCCAGTTTTCAAGTTCGGCCTGGTTCATGTCGTTTAGTTTTTGTCGTTTTAGGGGACCAATAAGCATCCTTAAAATGACTGGCGCGATGCCTGGAGTATGGAGCTGCTGCCAGTGGCCGGTTCTGTGTGAACAGTAGGGAAGAGCGCTTCAGGTGTATTTATACAGGTGATCGGATAGACTCTATCCGATAGACTGTACACTGCGGGCTGCTGCGCATTAGATAATTAATGCAAGTGTAGCTTTACGGACGAACCTTGTTAAACGTAGCAAATATCGTAATTATATTTAGCCCTTTAACTCTTACGTTCATAAGAAGAGTTTGAAGTGGAGAGGAGGGGGGATATACTGGGGTGGCTGGGAGTGGCAGTTGCCACCCCAACTGATAGCCTTGCCACCCCTGTTGCCTCCTCAGCTGGCAACTATGAATTCAATAAATAGTTATGCAAATTGGACGTGAATTAACAATAAATGCACGATAACAGATTTTGCTTGGCAATAAATTGTCTAAAAAATTATTGTGATAAACGATAATATTGTTTGAAGACCTTTTTACATTGATTTAATGGAAATTACATAATAATACATGCGATTTCCTGCCAAAGATAGATAGATACACTTTACTTTCAAAAGAACACTTGACACTGGGACTGATACACAAAATAAATAAAACAACCAAAAATAAAATAGATTCTCAGTCTCCATTAACAATAAATGTACTTGAATAAAAACTAAACATAAAGCCAAAGTGGAAATAAACACTGGATTCAACCAAAAGAGTGCAGATTATGAAGTCTGTATATTATATTGCCCTTCAGTAATAATTAGATTTAAAAAGAGAAGAATCCGACTGAATGATGCAATTGTTCAAACTACAGGATTTTTTTTTTTACTCCGAACGACAATCTTAGAATGTTCGAGATTGTCCCTTGTGTGTTACGGTAGATCGTTGTGGCCGCTCCGATCAAGGATTTATCCAGACTGGGAGCTTAATGCAACCTGTTGAATGCGACCGGTAGAAAATCAGAAAGTGCAGATTCTCCTCGTGCTTTCTGACGGGAAACACGGAGGGAAGCCCGAATAGCTGACACGGTGCAACCCGAAGTTCAGCAGACATCGAAGATGATATGTGGAAACATGAAAGTTTATTCAACAGTTCGTGCAAAGAAAATATAAATAACTAGGGGAGGAGTTGGAGCGAAATTTCTACCAGAAAACCCGGCAACTTTTCAGCTGTTCTTCGTTAACGTGACATAAATAGGTTCTAATGATTTTCATTCAGTCAGACTGACACTAGCTGCATGCATTGCAGGAAGATTGTAGTAAGGAATTGATTAATGCCTGGTTTCAAAGTTAGTGAACTGGACTTATTATTTTGTGTCCATTGTTGGACACAACACGGTTCGATCGAACCGCTATAGCTAGGATTTCTGTCGGCTAATGTGTCTCTCAGGTTTTGACAATCCGCGACATAAGATCGTGCAGCGCGCGCTGGGCATTACACTAAGGAAATAAGGAAGGGAGGGTCAGTGGAGTTGAGCCTTTTTTCCTTCAGTGTCATCAACAGTAAGAGAAAAAGGCCGGAAGAAACGATATAGACAATAATTGAAATGACGTCGATAGTTTTAATTTATCGTGCGATTAATTGACTTAGCGTTTATCGCGACAGGCCTAACGTGAAGCACATGAATCTCTTTTTTTCGACAACATTGAATGCAACACAGTGTAACCTGACATCTCCTCAGTAGCAGGAAGTGCGAGAGACACTGGAAGGACAGACGTGAGGCAGCATCATTGATATATAAGGGTATATATATATATATATATATATATATATATATATATATATATATATATAAAATTCCCTTCTCACCCACCGCGGGTGGTTCTTATCCTCTGAGCTCGGGTCCTCTACCAGAGGCCTGGGAGCTTGAGGGTTCTGCGCAGTATCTTGGCTGTGCCAAGGACTGCACATTTCTGGACTGAGATGTCTGATGTTGTTCCTGGGATCTGTTGTAGCCACTGCTCCAGTTTGGGGGTTACTGCCCCGAGGGCCCGATGACCACAGGCACCACTGTGGTCTTCACCTTCCAGGCCCTCTCCAGTTCCTCCCTGAGGCCCTGGTATTTCTCTAGTTTCTCGTGCTCCTTTTTCCTGATGTTGCAATCACTTGGTATTGCTACATCTACCACAACGGCTTTCCTGATGTTTATCCACTACGACAATGTCTGGTTGGTTCGCCATTACCATTTTGTCTGTCTGGATCTGGAAGTCCCACAGGATCTTAGCTCTGGCGTTCTCCACCACCTTTGGGGGTGTTTCCCACTTTGATCTTGGGGTTTCCAGTCCATATTCTGCACAGATGTTTCTGTACACTATGCCTGCCACTTGGTTTATGTCGCTCCATGTACGCTTTCCCTGCCAGTATCTTGCACCCTGCTGTGATGTGCTGGACTGTCTCAGGGGCCTCCTTGCACAACCTACACCTTGGGTCTTGTCTGGTGTGGTAGATCTGGGCCTCTA